GTCGAGTCATAGAGAAGTCTATCTCTGACTATATACAGAGAGACCAGTGAGAAAATAATAATATAAATATTCTGTGTTTCTTCACTAAATTCTACATTCTTTATACAGTTTTAGTTTAGCAAAATAAAACGGTGAATGAATATTTCCTGTATGCAGTAAATTAGCGGATCATCACTATAACTTAGTGTGAAATGCTTATATCTATTACAATTTTGGATAACTAATATGTACATCATATTGACTTCAAAATAATAGCTTTTTGTGTCAGTGTATTAAATTTTAAGTAATAAGAATTGTGTAATAAAAAAAAGTCATATCCACGGTATTGGATTTCTTTTTAGCCCAGGACTGATACTTGCCGGCAATGCATGAAATGTCCTTAGGGAAAATCTTTGTTGTTTCAGCACCAGATTCCTGACAGATATGATAAGGATCCTGCAAGGATTCGCCCTTTTTTCCTGAGAAAATCCTGAAAGAAGTGTGTAGCCACGGAATTTTAGGATCCTGTCAGGATTTCAATAATTCCTAATTGGGAAGAAAAAGATTTCCGATAACATCGTTCAGAATTTAACTAGGTTTCCTTGAAGATGTTATTAAATATCTTGACAGGATCTTTGCAGATTTTCCAAATAGAACAGAAGAGAAATGAACACATAGAGTATCGATCTCTAGACCTCCAGTTTACATACCGATGAAACAACTTTTATGCAAACTTTGAAAACATTTTGAAAAATTTTTCTATGATGTTTTTTCATATTTATTTGTTTGTGAAAAGAACCAAATCAAGATCAGGATAAAAATGCCAGTAGATTATTCAGTTCTCAGAATTTTGTCGTGTTTCGAGCAAAAACACAATATGATCTTGAAAAATCCCTTATTTTATTTTTTTGCGATTTTGCTCAACACCGGTATTGAAATTCTGTTGTGATCTATAGATTCATAAATCTTGAACGGATCCTGACCTGAACCTAAAAACGTGAGCTTCATCCATCCTTACCAGGTTGTATTTTCTCATCAAGATCCTGATCATACTTGTACTTTCTTTTAAGGATTCGAAATGTTTGTTCTTGAGCAATTTAGCGTAGGATACTAACCGAAGCCTGGCAGGATTTATCAGTTGAGGATTCTGACTAATCTTGTTTTATTCCTGGTAAAATTCTTCTCTGATACGACTGTAACTCTTGACAGGATCGTCGTATCACGATCCAGAACAAATCTTGACCAAAATCTTTCTGTTATACTTGTCAGGATCCTGAATAGGATCGAGAATGAATCTTAGTAGGATCCTGCAAAATCAGTTTAGGAAAAAATCCGACCAAGAACTTGAACAAATCCTGGGAAATCTATCCAGAATCAAACTTGGCATGATCCTTAACATTTATGATGCTGAAAGATCCTTCTAGGCTCTCTCAAGAAATGAACACGGTTGAGTAAACTAAACAGTAATCTGCAAAGATCTTTGCTAAACCCTTATATTGTCTCATCAAGATCCTTATTACGATTGACATTGTCTTGCAAGGTCTGAAACCGGAAACCTTGAAAAGTTCTGAAAAAGATCCTGACTAAAGCTTTGCAGGATTAGTCAGTTTCGTATTCTAACTGATCTGGTTATTTTCTTGCAAAGACCGTTATCTGATGCGGCTATCACTCCTAACAGGATCCCGATACGAAGATTTGGCCCAGATCTTGACGGAAACCTGATCTTGGCAGAATCCTCTCTTATAATTTCCATTTTCAGAATCATCTATCATAATCCTTGATAGGATCTAGAGTAAATCCTGGTAGGATTCTGTATTGTGAACTCAGAAAAATATCTGAGCAGGAACTTGAAGAAATCCTGAACACGATCCTGTTTAAACTTGAAAAATCCTGGAAACAGGAGTTACTAGGATTCGAAATAGGATCCTGAATAAAATTTGACAAGATCCTGGAGTTTCAAGCTCCTGAAAGATCCTTCCAGGGTTTCTCAAGGAATGAACCGGATTGAGACTAGGTGTTGCTGAATATTTAATTAAAGCTGGATGTAATGTGCATGTACGCGATTCAGTGAAAAAGACGCCACTTCATTGGGCAGCAATCTACAGGCTAACCAGCATCGTTCTACTATTACTTGAATATGGAGCAGATATTGAAGCACTGGCCGATTTTGGACAACCTCCGCTGCACTCCCCGGTAGGATATCCATTTCATTCAGAAATTATCAAGTTACTGAGAGAAAAAGGTGCGAGTACCGATATAAAAAACGACCTAGATTTTACAATTCTCGATTATTGTATCAACAACAATTCAGATGACACAGATCTAATTCAGTTTATCAAACAGCACAGTGAATAAGCTCTCCGACGTATAGTCTGGATAGTTTTGTTCGACCTAGATGAACGATTTCTTATATCTTAATTGATTATTTAATATAATTATTTAATTAATTTAATATAATTACAATAATTCGTGTAATTTATCAAATTAAAGCGAATTCCATACGTTTTACTAACTTTAGTCTGTAATATTGAGATCTCTATATGCCAAATACTAAAAGAAAGCTTTTTCTAAAAAATAGCATAGTATGGAGTACAAGTTGTGTACCCCCCCATAATAGAAGACCACTGCCGATTATATGACTTGAAAGCCAAATAGAAGACCATGGTCTTCTAACTCCTAGAAGACCAGTGGTCTTCTATTATGTCCGCGAAAAAAATCGAAAAATGGGAAACTAGGGGAATTTTCAAAAAAATTTCGCCAAAAAGTACTTCTAATAGGGGACGGACTTCAAGTACTTGAGGTTACCGTTGGACTACTAGCAGGCGACAAAATCTGACCGCAATAGAAGACCACCCTTTAGAACTCGACTTGAGAGACAAAATTGAAGACCAGGTGATCTTCTATTATGGGGAGGTTACTACGAACTAAAAAAAGCTGAGGAAGGGTACCGTCAAATTTGTTAACGCTTTAATCTCGGAAGTTGCTAGAATAAACACTGATTTCATAGTGAAGAGAATCTTTCTTTTGGTTAAAAAGATAAAATTTGTGAACTAGTGCATAGATTTTATCGACATGAATGTTTCGTTATACAATTAAGAATATAACGGTAATGGATGAGCAGTTATTGTTCATCATTTGACACTCTTATTCATTGATTATCAGTAGCTCTGTTTCAAGAAGATACTGACTATTGATAATAGCAGTTTTAACCATTTGTATTTCTGTTTACATACATTATCTCTGACTACCATGGCCCGAAGAGAAAGCCGAAAAGTCATGGTGGTTCAGAAAGATCTCTGAAAACTCGGCTACATTCAGTTTGTTATTAAACCCTCTGATTAGCCAATGTCTACATCATCCATTCTATCCTTATTTCTTTTCCATTACTGTCAAAGATAATGGTATTTCGGATATCAAATGACACGTCTTCATCGATGAATAGTATTAAGCCAGTAACAAACTGCATTCGGCAGAATTAACCAAACAAACATGTTAATGGTTTCATTTTAATTGTAGCACGTTGTTTAGCCTATTGTGAGTGCATGCAACAAAACTTCTAAACACAATACACATTTTTTCCAGTTCTTTAACATATATTCCACGTCGATTCAGTATATGTGGAAAAAAACATTTGTTTTGACAAAATAAATATTTTTAATCGAATGTCGTGACATAATTTTCATCCACTAATATGATCTCACATAGCTACCACCCGTTTTTGTGCTAGTCAGAACATTTTTTTCTCTTTCGTCTTTAATAAAAACACTTAATAAAATTTATTTTGTAATTATATACATCCGTACACATACAGCGCAAGTATTTTTGTTTGATCGCAAGCCGTTTGCATTGTCCAAAAAAGTCAAACGTGATGTACACATTCAGTCTGCACACTTTATTTTTTACAGTACGTCTACAGGCAGGAATTTACGAAAGTAAGGGACAATTGGAAAGTAAGGGACAGAATGGAAACCAGTTAGAGAAAATTGTATAAACAATACAGAAAACAGCACGTTTTTTATCTATATATTTCAGAGAAAGACGCTTGGCAAATGCGACTTGTTTTACTATACTATCTTTACTGTTGTTTACTATTTACTTTACTATCGTGCAGAATAGATTCTGCTTGAAGAACAATGTGTACTTTACAATATTCCTTATCGTGCTCTCTTCTATTTTCATTCTTTTTTAAACAACTTTTCAGTTTAAGGTAAAAGTGGGGGACAAAAGTTCAGCGCATTAGTATTTTCTTCGATCTTGATAACGAGAACAAATTCGAAAAGTGACCTGAGTAGCTGAAACAGTTTCCATATAGAAATTCTATTAAAATCATTGAAGATTAAATTTCTGGAAGCAAGATCCTCGAAGTTTATTAGATCTTCCATTTTGCAAACGACTTAGTCGTATACAATCAATATTTCTACTCAAAATGAGATGTCTCTGAGGTCCCTATTAGGTATGCACTAGTATTTGCTGGTATATTTCAGCATTTTCCTCAGTCAGATTCATTGAAAAGATTCTTGACGACCCACGAAGAATAGTCCTGAGGTGCCAGATCGCTTTTGCTTTGGGACAAGCATGGTATAGGTAGTTTCATTTAAACTTTATTATAGAAGAAACAGTAATTAAATTGGACTGTGCCCATTGCACGACACAATGGGCACCGTATAGGTAAATTTCGATGATAGTGAATCTGGTACCCATCTATGCCTAGTAGACATTATAGCTTAGTACTTATGTTGTTCGTCAAGTACTTCGGACGTACAGTATTCGAACCTCGGCGCCGCTAGGTCATGTAATAATCTTGAACAAGTTACTCATGTCTTAGTTTTCAGAACAAAATGCAACAACGGAGTGAAAACCTATACTAGGTGAGATAACCCACTATTGATTATTTTCATCAAAAATTAAAAAACTCATAACTCAGTCAAAATCCATCCAGCCGACTTCACAATTTCAGGAGATACTCTATTTTATCTGCAGCACCATAAAGTTCAATAAATGTTGAAAAAAACAACAGAAAATAATTTGGTTTCTAGAAAAGTTTCGCGGAAATCTTCGGAACTAAGAGAATATATTTTATTCATTTTACGTACAGGATCAAAATGAGAGGATAAAATAGAGTATCTTCTGACATTGTGAAGTCGGCTGGATGGATTTTGATGTGAAAAACCGGCCTTTGAAACGTTTTCCAATTCGGTTTTGCTTATGAAAGCGTAGCGTCGGATCTTGGCTGGCGAATGATGGAAACCGCAAGTCTCTATCCTTTATTCCTTTTGAGTTATTCAAAATATAATGACCGAGCTTGCTTTTTAGAACTGATAACAATTCATGGTATCAAAATATCGATAATGAGATGTTTTATGGTATTCATGTACAACGCTAGACTTAAGAAAATTTTCTTTAATGAATCGCTCTGAAATGATGCGTGTCCAAAATCGATGAGCTCTTTTACCGATGAGTCGATCGCTTAGTAACATAATATAACCTAGTTAAAGTAAACTGCTGTGAACCTTTCCAAAAGAGTTTAATGACTTTCTGCAAGATAATAGTTGCTTAAAACCGATTAATATTTCTTAGTATACATTTTTTGTCTTTACCAACACCGATGTTTTCATGTATAAATGTTCGAGGACTTGTCTTTTTTTTTAGAAATTTTGAACGAAATGGCTATTAATGAATTAATTTCAATTGCAAAAGTATCTCTTGTCGAAAGTACTGATTTTTTTGTAAACCATGTGGATGCTATCGTTTTGTACGCAGAGGGACCTCAACTAGAAAACTTACTTTCCAATCTAGATGATAACAATCGTCTAAAACGAGAAATTTTAGGTTTCTTAGACCATGCAAAATCAGGTAACGATCTACAAGAACGTACTCATTGCCAGCTTATTCGCTCATCTATCGATCGGATTAAAGCCACATATCTTATTCTTGTTGATCAACCACATTCGTTGGTAACAGAACAACAATGGTTTGAAGCGATTATTGACAGCGCCATCCAGAAACGATTAACTTCAATCGCATTTCCATGTAATATTTATACGCGTGAAATTGATACATGGTGTACACTAGACAATATTATTCAATTACAAAACACAAATAAACTTCGAAATTTGAAAGAAATTCAAATTATTTATGTTGACGAACCGAATCTTGCAGATGAAAAAGCAAAATTAGAAATGTTCTATTCACAACTGAAGGTTAAAAGAGAATATGATAACGGTATGTTCTTCAAAATTTGAGATTTCTGACTTTGAATAACAATTTATTAGAATACAATTTCTATAATTTCTTACCTGTTTCAAAGGCTTAAATGCCTCTTTTAAGGGATGCCTTCAAAATTATTACCACTTCAAGCGCTTTCTATATTTCGATAGATATATTCGCATAAATGAAAAAAGAAAAGTGAGAAACGATAGAAACTAACTGAACAAGAGATATTTTTCTAAATAAAAGTAGAGATCGAAAAAGAACAATATAATGTTGATATATGAGATATACGATAGATATTGCTTTTAAGTTTGAAAATTTTTTCTTTTGATTGAAATGTTCACTGCACTGCACTCACTATGAAATTATTCTACATTCTGTCAACTTGACAGATTAAAATAAAACTAACTAGAATGTACCCTTCCTTGTTTTCTATGTTAGTTTGAAGTACACAAGATATACTATACGTCGAGCCATTTTTTAGGAAAGGGTACTTTATGAGATACAGGGCTGTCAATAACGCAGCTGAATATGAGACAAAGATGTACTTTTTCTGCCAATTAACAAGCAGAACCATTTCTTAAGAGGAGTTCTTGGGTAGCATGACTTTCCGGCTTTCTCTTCGGATCATGGTAGTCTTAATTCTGCATCGTTTATGTCTTAAGAGTTATGTAAAAGTAATATAATCGAGCTAATCAGAGGTATTTTTAAACACATCACATATTGTTACATAAAGTAAGACCAGTTTTGGGGAAATTTATAAGTTACTATCAATAATGGTAAATGATCAGTATTTGTTATTCATCATTTCTTACGTCTCATATATTTTTCTCATATATCTGTATAGAACTTTATTTCTATTTATAGAAAAGAACAAATTTTCTATTTTAATTAAAATAGAAAATTTGTTCTTTTCTATAAATAGAAATAAAGTTCTATACAGATATATGAGAAAAATATATGAGACGTAAGAAATGATGAATAACAAATACTGATCATTTACCATTATTGANGATAGTAACTTATAAATTTCCCCAAAACTGGTCTTACTTTATGTAACAATATGTGATGTGTTTAAAAATACCTCTGATTAGCTCGATTATATTACTTTTACATAACTCTTAAGAGCCATTGCACGTAAGCGACGACCTATTACAGCGGAGTAGCCTTCAATCGGTGATCTCAAAACTTTTCCAAAATAGGGGGCTCTTGTAGACAAAACGTTTTAATGAATTATGGTAAAAGGCAGAAATCAAAACGTGGTATCGTTGCTGAGATATTGATATTTTACGAAAAGCCTGGAAAAACATGTCTTCAATCTGGAAAATTTGCCAACTTTAAACTCTTGTAATTCAGTAACAACAGGTTACTTAACTTTGGAGATCTCCCCATAAATAGTAGACAGTGTGAGCTACAAAACCACGCAACTGCGAGCTCAAAACATGCGTTCGCGATTTTGGAATAGATGGCGCACTAAGAGCCCAAAGCCAGAAAACCCTGAATTTTGCTGTAACATCCATTTAAAACAAAGTCCACGGTAAGACTTTCAACCATATTTACAAATAGATTACATGCCAAAGTATATTTGGTAAAAGTTTGACGGTTTCCGATGCTTTCGTTTTCAATACAGACGACTAGAAAGTTGCAAAAAAAAAGAAGAGAAGAAGAAGAAAGTTGCTTTTTTCCCAAAAATGACCATTTTGGGCGATTTTTAGAAACGATTTTCTCCATGGAAACGAGGCAATTCTGAGGCCCCCTAGTATACTGCTGAAATACACGAAGTGTACTACCATAGACCATCCTGCGATTTGTGGGTTTCGCTAAAATGGCTTCGGGGGATCGGTCGAGGGCATCGAGTACTAGAGGCTTGCTTCAATCAGTATATTTCTGCTACAGTATATTAAAATTTCAATAAAGACCAGTTTGATATGCAACTTTTTACAAGAAAGTCAATGGTAATACAACATCAAGTTAATTTCCGTTATTAACGCGGTCCTATGTGCGAGTTCCACCGAGAGTACTTCTAATAGGTTCCTTTCTGATACATGATTCATATGTCGGTCAGAGGTTTTTGAATAACTCAAGAACGAAAAGCGACAAAAACTTCTGGTTTTTACGATTCGATAGCCAAGACTTTAAACTATCTTTTTATAACTAAAACAAAGTTGAAAGTACTTCTCAGTGACCGGTTTTCTAGTAGATCTCTAGAAAACCCTTTTGTAACTCTAAACGACAAAGTAGGAATAGATTGGTTTTTTTACGAGTAAATAGCCTAAAGTGTTCTCTTCAAAATGGGAGTCGAGCGAGACTTTGATTTTGAGTGATTTGGACGTGATATCTCATTTCCATGGAGCAACTGAACTGGAACTCAGCGGCTTCCAGTAACCTCGTACAAGGAAGACTAACATAAAGTAAAATAAAATAAACTCTGCCATCAGATTTAGCATGGTCAACTATGTACTTGTGTTCTTCTTTCAAAGTTACTGGAAGCCGAGAGATTCTATGCTGCTTGTACCAAGTAAGGCGATTTTCCTAGTTTTCTGAAAAGCTATGTGTATGCTGTGGTGATGGTTATAGCTCACGGTACACCCCTCGCTGAGTTGAAAAGAGCGGGAAACGGTTTCAGTAAGAAAAAGGTCAATATGACCTTGAGCGGAAACGACATGGAACTACTAAATATGCTTTATTTTACACTTTCCAGTACTTTTCATTTTTAAAAAGTGGATCTGGTTTGCTGGAGTTTAGAATGTTGTTGATCATCTTGTCAGCAGTATACACCAGGCCATCTATTTGTTTATTGCACAACTGCAAAATTTTAAGTATATAGTTCTCAAATTCCTCAACAATCAAAGGAAGAACAGGTATTTATGTATCAAAAGAGAAGTCTAAAACACTATACGGATTATATATATTTAAGCATAATCTCATATGAGTTCATCAAAAGCGTATGTACAACCATGTTTTGTTTCTCATTTCCATGGACCACCACGACTGGCACTCAGTGGATTCCAGTAACCTCGAAGGAGGAAGACTAACATAAAGTAAAATAAAATAAACGCTGCCATCAGATTTACTATGGTCGACTATGTACTTGTCTTCCTCGTGCGAGGTTACTAAAAGCCACTGAGTTCCAGTTCTGTTGCTCCATGGAAATCAGATATCACGTCCAAATCACTCAAAATCAAAGTCTCGCTGGGGTCCTGTTTTGAAGAGGACACTTTAGGCTATTTACTCGTAAAAAAACCAATCTATTCCTACTTTGTCGTTTAGAGTTACAAAAGGGTTTTCTGGAGATCTTCTAGAAAACCGGTCACTGAGAAGTACTTTCAACTTTGTTTTCATAGAGAGAGTAATTTCATAGTGAATGCAGTGAACATTTCGATCAAAAAGAAACTTTTTCAAACTTAGAAGCAATATCTATCGTATATCTCATATATCAACATCATCTTGTTTTTTTTCGTTTTTCTGCTTTCATTTAGAAAAATATCTCTTGTTCAGTTTCTATCGTTTCTCACTTTTCTTTTTTCATTTATGCGAATATATTTATCGAAATATAGAAAGCGCTTGAAGCGTTAATAATTTTGAAGGCATCCCTAACTATTCTTTGTCATATGTCTTTCATAGGTTCTTTTCAGTCTTATTCTAAGCAATATTCAGATGTTAGATCCAATAATCATCACATAACGACACGAAGCACATTCAACGAAGATAATAATAGAAATCAAAGAGATAATAATTCTACTCTACAAAACTATGATCATGCGACATTTTTGACACCCAATTCGAATAATTTACAGTATACTGAAGGAATGCAAGAATATCAGTTCGAATTTGGCGATTCTATTTTAATAGTTAAACAAGGTCATATTTTCGAAGAGAAGGCAGATGCTATCGTCGTCGATGTAAACGATTCTCAACCCACTGAACCAGTCGAAGCGATCTGCAAATTGGCTGGTGACGTTTATATACAAGCATGTAACAATTCAAATCCAACTGATGAACTTCTTCTTATGCCTGCTGGTAATTTACATGCACGATATATCATTCATCTCCCATTACCATGTTGTGCCCCATCTAAGACAGCCAATCAACATTATTTAGGTAATCTTCATGATAATTTGTCAATAATATTTAAAAGTGCGTTAAAATATCGTATTAATCGTCTTTCACTTGTACCTGTTGGTTGTACAAGACATCATTTCATGCCAGAAAATGTAATTGAGCATTTACATACAGCTTACTTAAATCACGGTACATATGTGAGAGATATTGTATTGGTTATCGATCAATCGTCAAATTTTCAAATGTGGGTTGATTTGTGCAAAAAATGTACAGCTGAATATTCAAGGCAACGTGAACAAAAAAAGAGCGACGAACAAAAACAGACTGATGAACATCATTGGACCAAAACGGGCGCTAATGGTGGTATTAAAGAATCTAGTGCCAACATAGAAAACCAACACAACTCTATTATAGGTATTATTATAAAATAACTTTTGATTCTATAAAAATTTCTTGCCAACTACATTAAGAGTAAGTTACACCGCCTCATTTTCAAAAAATGTCTCAAAGTTGAGTTGCTCCGGCAAAAATGTAACCCAAGATGTTGTCTACAGAATGGTCACGAAAGAATTCTCAAACTTTTTTGAGATCCCAGCAATTATTCATCATATAGTCTAATCGGCAAAATGTTAGCCTTGATCTTGACTTAATCAGAAATTTTAATTCTGAGAGAAGCAAGGGACAAGAGTGACGTTCAGAATAAGCGATCGCATCGTAAATCTTGGAGCTTCTCTGTAAAGAAAAGAGGATGCCTTCTATGTTTTGCTATTACGAGCAATTATAGCTCGTTTTTAAATTCTCTACAAGTTAGGGTGATCAAGTTCTGTGAAACAATAATCAGCAGTTCAAAAAGTCGTTTTAATAAAAAAGAAAATTTTTCAATTTAAGTTTCATGTGTTCTATCCTTATTTCTCTCAAGTAACCAAAAGCATAGATAGCTTTTCTGTTCTGTGATGTAATTTCTCTCTGAAAAACACGTGTTGTCTAGTCCCGTTTCATCATCTCGATACTACTCAAATAGAAATGTTCTACAGAGAAAATCCAGCTCCATCGGCTACATAACCGAGCAGTTATTCACTTGATGGATCTAGCTAAATGTACCTTTTACGTAGTTAGCTAGCTCCAGCCTATAGTAGTGAACCGAGCATTAGGTTACCATAATCGAGTAGAAGCGGGGGGGTTGACAACTATGTCGCACATGTCTCTTTCTATAGAGACTCATCACAGAGTGTACAGGCTTTGGTCACTGATCAAGTATATAAGCTGTATGGATTGAGCAGTCGGGGTAGAACACACTATAGCAATGGACAGGATGGGAATGAGAACATCTTAAAGTTTACTTTTGGACAATTTAGTCGAAAAGTAAGTCCTTTGCATTTGAATTCAAAGCTCAAGTGTTCGATTCCATCAACTGTATAGTGTTCTTTTGTGCTATGCTTCTTTCTGTTCTATACTCACCTTTCTCTAATCATGTTTTTCAGTTTTTTCTACTTTAGCTTTAATTTCGAAAAGCTGAAAACTACCACATTTTGTTCAGTTGTTTGCACTCTTTTGTCTGTATAGTCTAAAGTTTCGAAATAAACAGAAGATAAGAAAATAGGGATATATTTAATAAGAAGATATTTCTTTCCAAATAAGATAACTCATGTGCGGACATTTTTTCGTCTCAGCGCGAGATATGTCAGAATATCAGAATGCAGTGTATTCTCAAAAAGCAAGCCCAGTACATTTTATAAAAATTTATATATGTGCGTAGTTTGATATATTCTCAAAAGAATACGCACATATATAAATTTTTATAAAATGTGCTGAGCTTGCTTTTTGAGAATACATTGCGTACTGATATTCTGACATCTCTGCTCAGCGCGTCGATAGAAAAGAAAGAGAACAGAAAGATATGTATATGCGAACAAAATGTATCCAGATATTTGCTATTGTCGATAAAAACAAGAATGGGCTCTGATGTTGCTTGAATAACGTTTGACAGGAAGATGGAAGATGCTTGCGATTTTCACCAATTCGGAAGTCAAGACCTGACTGTATCTCTTCATCACGGAAATCATTTTCGAAATCTTTTTCTAAAGCTTTCTAAGAGGATCTTTGGATAACTATGTCACAGCTCAAAAATTTGAGATACAAATAGTTTGATTTTTTTCATGGGTAGATAGTCCAAAGTATCCTCTTAAAAATGGGAGTCAAGAGAGACTCTCGTCGTCAATCATTTAGACCTGGGATCGAATTTCCTGGGAGCTCCAGGACTGTTCTTTTTTCATATGTTAGAATCTCAGAATAGAGGTCTGTGGGACAGTCCCAGTCTCGGTCCTGCGGGACCCGGACCCAGAAAAATCTTTTTTACGGGACCGGACCTAGAGGTCTGCGGGACGGTCCCGGTCCCGTGAAACTTTTAATAGGACCGCGATCAGGTTTTGTTGAAAATAGTCTTGTATGAAGTAAAAAAAGTTCTTTGAAAAAATATTTACGGAACCACGGAACCGGGACCAAAAATGAGTTCTTTTCATGGGACCGGGACCAAAAACGTTTGATCCCGCAGACCTCTACTTCAGAAATGACTCTAGACAGAGGTTATCGACTATGCTGAATTTCGTGGCAACGTCTATTTCTTGAAAGAGTTCTAAAAATATATTTTTCAACTTCTCGATGATATAATCATATTTACCAGACAAATTTAGGCATATCCTGAAGTTTCGAGCTCGTCTAGAAAGAGAACACTAAAGGTTCGTTGTCTTTTTCGTTTTTGAATGTTAGAGATCTAATCCAATTAAAAATCAGTCGCTTTGGTAAACAATATTTCACTTCATTTTTTAAAACATTTATAACTCGAGACAGGAATAGGGGTGGCACTTTCCCGTTCCTTTCGTGAGTAACGATAAAGCGGTATCTTTTATTTCAAAAGTAAAGAGTAAAGATATAATGCATATATTTTCTGTCCTAAGAAAAAGAAAACGGCACTTTTTCTTTTCCAAAAGAAAGAAATGCGATATCTTTTCTTTTTGCAAGAAAAAGACTTTCTTAAAAGGTGCAAAAAAAGGTCTTTTTCTTGAAAAAAGAAAAGATATCGCATTTCTTTCTTTTGGGAAAGAAAAGGTGCCGCTTTTCTTTTTCTTAGGAAAGAAAATATATGCATTTGCATTATATCTTTACTCTTTTTCGTTGTAAAGAAAAAGAAAAAGTTTTCTTTTGTTAATAAGAAAAGGAGGTAGGAAAGAGAAAGTGCCACCCCTAGACAGGAATGGTTCTACTGTCTAAGAACTGAGATTCAGAGGTAACCTTGGACGGAGAATCGAATGAGCATAGTTAGAAGAAAAGTTGCAAATCGTCCCTCAATACGATTAATACCTCTCCCACTTGTACCACTCAGAAAAACGCCCCTCGAATAATTTAAAATTTTCTTTTATATACCGTTCGATTATATGAAATGTGAATGGGCGTCAAGTTAAGCACCTATTAGCGTCCCGTGTCGATTTTCTGCCGGACGCTCTCTTAAGTACTTATTACTTGTTCTGCGTTGACTTAAAAGCAAGGGGGAAACAGCAGATTTTATGACTTTGGTAATGTGAGCTCCGTTCTGCAGGCAATCAATTTTTTTCAAATTTTGTTGTAGTCCTGGAGACTCCTTGGTATTCTTCATGACTTCGCCGAGCTCGAAGAATTTTCCTGTGGTTTTGAATTTTTCCGCGTTTTTTCCGCTTAGTCCCATTTCCAGTCATTTTTACAGATTTTCAAGATTTCATCGGATTCCTTTTTCTGCTTTTTTCTTGCATTCCTAAGGAATCCTCTAGTTTCTCGAACTTTGGAAAGTTTGTATAGGATTATTCAGGCTTCTGTGGGTCTGGGAGTCCACAGCTGCTTAGAATTCTGCTGTTTCTCCCTTGCTTAAAAGTCTTCACTTCTACTTAAATCATTCGAATGATTCTCATGTGTCTTCTCTCACAGAGCAGATGAGGATGAGGGAGATCAATGGATTTGACTTTTCTTAATGAAAAACGTGTCTTGGTGATGTTAGAATATTTAGCAATGACATGATTCATTTCATACTGGTATTGTTTGTTTCAGACTTTTTGGTCCCTCCACAAAACCGGAAACGTTCTTAAGGACATATTCCGAAGAACAAATTGCTTTCTAGATGATAAAATCAAGTCTGCATAGTCCAAGCAAATATTTCCTATACAGTAATTTCAAGCTTTTCAATAAAGAGATATTTTTTATTTTAGAGGTGATATTCGTAATTACTGTTAAAGATCGCACTCAGTTCATGTCGGTTTGTCAGAAAATGAATAAAAAAGTTTTTCAGAACCCTATACTTAACCAAGAGCGTCAAAAACATCATATCGAAAGTTTGTAAAGCTAAGTGTTGGAATAAGAGACTATTGCTACAAGTTTTTCATTAAGAAAAGACAAATTTATTCGAGGCACATTTTCTAGTTTATGTGTTCCCGTCGTTTAGAACAACCTGCAAACTCACGATCATACAACCATGTTACGAAATTCTCAGCTCATGATTTATCAAAATACGATGACATATCTTATAATAGGTATTTGCTTTCGAATGATACTGTTTTAATAATTAAGCGTGGGGATATATCAAAGGAATCCACTGATGTGATTGTGAACGCTGCAAATGAATTTTTGGAAGATGGAGCAGGCGTTACCGGTGCCATATATAAGCGGGCTGGTCCAATTTATGCCATGGCATGCAAAAATAGGCCAATAATAAATAGAGTAGGTGGGCGTCTAGAGCGAGGAAAAGCGATTGCATTACCTGGTGGTAGTTTATTAGCACATTGTGTTATTGCCACTGTTGGACCAGTATTTGATAGATCGAGCGAAATTCTATCAAGAGAAATTTTGTTTTCCTGCTACAAAGAATGTTTATTATTGGCTAAAGTCAAGAATTATAGTTCAATTGCATTTCCAGCGTTGTCATGTGGAGTTTATGGTTATCCTGTCGACAAGGCTGCTGAGGTGGCACTAGAAGCTGTTGAAAAGTACCCAATGGATTTGAAAGAAATAGTTTTTGTCCTTTGGGAGGAGTCGACGTTACTTGCTTGGGTTAAAGAAGCAGAAAAAAAATTATGTAAAATTCGGTAACTAAATTAATATTGTTGTATTAGAATAGTCATTACGATAAAATCAGATCACAGCTGATTGTTGCTGTTTTTTAGATATATAAATACTTTGTACATTTTCTGTATGATGGTGGATGCCTGTTCTATATGTATACGCGTAACTAATTCGATATAATTTTTCTATAGTCTACTTTGACTAAGTTTCAGAATAACAAAAACAACTATTCAAAAAACAATCATTAATTTTTTTTCTCTTAGTCAATGTATTCATCGTTATTTCGATAGCAAAAAAAGAGACGAAAGAGCAAATACATATTATAGAAACATCATATTTTTTTTCAATCGACATCTCGTATACGCTGTTTTTTTGACACGCCCTCTCATGAAATTTCTGATGTTCAGTTGTATTGAATTTAGAAGTTAGTTACATTTGTAATCTACCCATGTGAAGAAAGTCGCTTGAATTTTGATGACATGTCACGATACGCTTAAAAGTCGACAGCAAGTCACGGTTTTTTTCTAAAGTCGTCGATTAATCGTGATTTATCCTGAATTTTGTTATTATTTTAATTTGTTCGAATCGATTGATATTATTCTAGATTATCTTTTAATTAACTCGATCCAAGTTAATTTATACAACGAGGAGCCAGGTAAAGCTGTAGGCCGACTGGTTGAAGTTAGAACTTCGACTTTAGTTGGCAGCACTGTCATAAGACAGTGGATGAACAGCAGCAGTGGCATACAACAAAAACTAGGAAAAAGACAAATAGGGTAGATTTGAACCTGGTACCTGTGAATTACAAGGAACAAAATAATCACCGATACGTCGCGACTTGTCGTCTCAAATGCTAAAAAGTTCACGACTTCGCGCGGTATTATCGATCTGCATGTCGATTGCGATGTCACCTATTTTCAACCGACATTTACCACATGGGTATGCTGGGAAGCAAAAGAAAATAACGAGTTTTTTTTCAGTAGTACGAGGGTTAGCTGGATAATGTGTATTACATAACAAGAAGAACGATCAAGCCACCATCCCATTGGAAACTAGTATTTTGAAAATTTTAATCAGTTGGCACACTTTTGAATGCGTCGAATTAATTAGCACTCACCATTCTGTTACTCGATCTAGGTTTTTCTCATTTAATTCTCACTAACAACTATCTGATAACGTTGAAACTATCCTTAATCTGGTATAGATGATGGAAAGTTTGACATTTTAGATCAAATGAATATCCAAAATGAGATTATACGTATATTTTTAAATCAGAGGGAGTTAACAATTAATGAATCAACCTTAAGCCGTGCATTAATTGCACACGGAACATTTCGTAATATCAGCGATATTCGCCAAGAAGTAGCACAATTAGAATCACTGTTTGAATTTTGTGAAAATAATCACATTAGATTACGTCCAAAAGTGAGTAATCAATATTTCAGTCTCATATACCAGCTGATGATTAATACGTAATCAATTTTAGATTAATATTTGTCAAAAATATTTACGTTTCTGTCCAAATCGGGGGAACTGTGATCAGATTCATATATGTCGACATTACCCGAATTGTGAAATCGGTTCAAAATGTACTTTTCCACATCAGATAAGTGATAGAATATTAAAGAAACACAAGTGTGAACAAATTGAACATAAACTATTAGTGGAATTAATTCGATTTTACTATCGTAGACAGGTAAGAGATAATGATCAGTGATACTGCAATTCATTCATGACCCAGGTCAATGATTGCGGCTACATTTTGTACTTCTTTATTTACAGTCATAAACAGTGGTGTAAAGCGCAGTTCGCGGTAATGTCGTTTTTTGTATTCGCGGTAATGTCGTTCGCGGTAATGTCGCTGTATCAATTAACTAAGTCGAAAAACAATATGACACGACTCTTGACCTGTTAATAATAAGATAGAAGTTAACAAACACAGCTGACTGGAAAACTAGCTGGTATTATTCATTCGATCAATGAGAAATTAACGCGTATTCTCATTCTGAACAGTAGAAAGAACCGCTGATTGAACTTCACTGCAACTCACAGCTTGAATAATTCAATTTTTTGCCCCCTCATCAATTGTTAAAATACGTTTTTCCGTATTTCAATAAATCCCTTTATTTAAGAGAATTGCTGTAGGGTCTTTTAATTTTTTTAAGCGAGAAAAGCCCTTTTGGTTCATTAAAAATCAAAAGGGTTTACCAAAAAATCAATGAATTTTTCATCCAAATTGTGACACCCTGACAGTTTATTAATCCAACTCCGATACCTGTTTTGGTTTATAAAAACGCTTTTTTATAATTCGAAAGGGTATCTTAAGAAATTCTACCGCTGATAAACCGTTAAGCGTTCAGGAAAACTGTCAATAAATTTCTTTCCATTCTGGAGGGGAAATGCGTAACGGTTAGAGTTTTTTAAAGTGTAGAGATCATTAAAGCCGATTTAACTGCGCATGTTTTTTTTAGTAACGTCTCAGCTGAGGTACAATCCATATTTTAATCAAGTATTTCAGTTGAGAAACCAATATTTCTGTGAAAACATTAGTTTCTCAACTAATATACATTTTAAAAAATATGGGCTTCACCAATCTCTCATGAATCTAGTGAAAATTCATATTAGGTGGAATAACCCCATTTTGGGCTATTTTCACGAAAATGAAAATACCCATAACTCAGTCAAAAACTTTGCAAAGTACTTCAGAATTTCAACATATACGTCATTTTGTCTGCTTAATCCAATTATGTACCTATGATCCATCAGAAATATTACCTTACTTCTAAGGATTTTCAGAAAACCTTTCATAAACCGATGTACTTTCCATTGATTTACTACTGACGAACAGCTATAACTCAGGAAAATGAGGCCTATCGAGAACCGTACGGAATATAGAGGTCGACCTTGCGCAGATTTGTAGAGGACATTCTAGGCTATATTTCACATACTTTAAACATAGAGGTCATTACAGAATGTAAGACAACAGCGACCGAACCTTTTGAAGACTTATGAGGCATATCACATGCCCAGACCCTATATATGAATCGACAGAGTAACATCTCTTCTACCAAATAGTAAAAGTAGCAGCTTTCTATCTCTTTCTGTTCTCAAGTTATTTAAAGAGTCTTCACAGCTACTATTTTATTGGACAGCAGTGGAATCTATTGAAATTTTCCACATATTCTAGTAAATGAATTGTAGCATCACTCATATCCGGAGTTTTGTTTAGAAATATAATCGCAGACGAGATGGACCTCGTCATCATAGTTCCCATTCATTATTACCGCCAGGAACAACTAAAAAGTATTTATTAATTGTTGCTTTGCCGTCAGAAAAGCTGGCACCTGATATTGATCGTGAATTAGTTGAACTAATAATTTCGAAAGAAGTTGAAAGTCCAAGTTCAGTTAAAGAAGAAGATACTGTGGCGAATGAACACTTTCGACGTTTCACAATAGAGTTTGCGGATGAAAAATGTAAGTTTCCGTTATTTGTAAGCCTATTATGCCTTCTTTATTTAGTCTAAGATGTGGTATGTAGTGCATGATATCGTTCAGTTTTCGTTATGCTGCTCTGTTGAACGACTAAAAAAGCTATTTAGTGGTAAACCTAATTTTCAGAAATAATTGTTTTTTAAAATTTGGAAAATAAGTACTCGTAAATTCATAAATCCGTACTCTCTATCTTTCTTTCTCAGTACGTCTTAAAAGATTTTGAGACTGACAAGGAAACCTCGCGAACTGTCACATCGCTTTTTCAAGTGAAACCACAAAACTTAGTGAATTATATAGATTATCAACTATGCTGAATCCAATATCACAGTGGTAGTTGCACAATGGGCAATCACGTCATATTTAGCTGAAAAAAACGAAAGTGAGATTTTTCGAGAATAGAATAGCACATCATATACTTTGGCATACACTCTATAACTTTGCAATTGCGAGTTTTTTTATAGGCGTCATTTCTAGCGGGAAAATCGACGATGAAATTATTTTAGGACAACAGAGCGATTAAGAAAATCATTTTGCGACAAACAATAGATGATATTTATTAAAATTTTACATAGCCTAAAACTAGGCATTTCGCTCTCTCCATTCGTAAAAAAAGCTTCTGCTTTGGCTTTTCCACGACCAAGAAAATTAGCTTTCTTTTTTTGCTACGTGTTTTCCGAAAATGTGTGCTCTGTGTAATCGGTTTCCGATTTTTTCCGAAGCTTCAAATTCAACGAACTTTTTACCGAAGGTAGACCTACTAACGATACATATATACTGATAGCGCAAACTAGCGCAAACGCTCTTGGACCAATCTATAGATTTTCTAAAATATCCTCGGTTTTTTAAATAAATTAGGTTTTTCTAGGTTCATTAATTAAAATTAAAAAATAACGAGATCTTTGGAATTAACGGAAAAAACTGTGTCGAATGGTGCATAATTCAGCCGTATTTGTACGAACACTTTTGAATTTAAGTTAGTTGATTCCTTTGTTTCTTGCATGTGCGTACCCAAGCAAAAACGACCCAATTTTTTGGGTTATTTATCTAGATTCAGCTCCACGTGCATCTAGATGTACGTGGAGCTGAATCTAGATAAATAACCCAAAAAATTGGGTCGTTTTTGCTTGGGGTTTGGGGTTTTTGACTGAAATTTTATAATTTTAAATTATCGACAGATGAAATCGTCTAAACACTATTTCTCTAGGTTATCGATGATTCTCTATCCAATGCAATTGTTTTTGAGTTTTTTGAAAGTTTTCTAAGTGGTTTCTAGAGAGCAGATCTCTGGAAAACCACTTAGAAAACATCTTTAGAATTTGAAACGCATTCCATTAGATCAGCACACAAAATAATAAAAAACTCTGTTTTAAGTTTTCCTCTAGCTTGCAGGCCAAAAGACCACGTGCCTGGTGAAAATTGCCCACTGTGAGCTGTCCATGGGCCTGGAAAACCAGTTTCCCAGAAACTCGAAAAAGTAACCAAAACTTTTCTTAATGTGACATGATTGTAGCCCGCAAATTAAAATGAGACATCTCCCAGCTCTGCACGACGTTCTTTTGCAAAGTTATAGAATTTACAAGAAAATGTTCTGTAACTTCGCAGACAAAGGTCTCGTAGAGCTGGGAGATGTCTCATTTTAATTTACAATCATGTCACATTAAGAAAGGTTTTGATTACTTTTAGAGTTTCTGAAAAACTGGTTTTCCAGAAAACCGCTCTTTGAAGGCCCCTGGGCAGCTCCCATCATGATATTCGGATTCAGCATAGTTGATAAACTATAACCCACTAGGTTTGGCTGAAAAAGCGATGTGACAGTTCGCGAGGTCCCTTCGTTAATCTCAAAAAGGATTATGCTACTAATTATAGACGTCGACATATTGGCAAAACAAGCCATTCTCAAACATAATAATGTTGAAATCAAAATGAAACGTACCATTCAATTAATTGATACATTTTGTTTTACGTTACAATGCTTTACTGATAAAAAAATTGATCGAAATCGATTAGGATTATATGTGGATACTCTAGTGGGCAATGCTATTGAACATACAATAGTGGACATAACATACTCTAATGACAATAGTCAAAGTCTAGAAAATGAAACACAATTTGAAGAAAAATTTTTAATTAATTGTGAAGAAGAAATAGGTAGGATAGAAGAAGTTGTTTTCATTGTAAAATCACAAGAAAAATGTCTTTTTAAAAAGATTTTGAAAATCTACGCAAAGCACATGAAATAAGACCAAAATTACAAAATAAAATATTTCGCCTTGATCAGATATATGAATGTGACAAGTTACTAATTTGGTTCAATGATAAAGAAGTGACTGCAGTAGCCTCGAATGCACCAAAACAAAGGGTGATGATGTCATACAGTTTATTAAAAAACATATTTGCATCATTTTGGATTGATATATTTACATTTGAAATAATGAATAATGAAGTGAATATGGAACTAATAAATTCACAAGGTAGGTTTTGGAAGAGAAATTGTTCTGTTATCATAAGCGGTAAATTTCATAAGATGATGAATCTCTCAATTTATACCTAGTCATTGCATTGTGTATTTTAGCGGTAAAAAAGTGGTTAAAACAAGCAGATAAATTTGAGATGCAGTACAATATTCGTATGAGACCATTGCTTATGGAGGATGAAGAGCAAGACGATACATGTTCAAATTTTTCTGGATCCGAATCGATTCATTCAGTTCAATCAATCAATCTTGAACAACAGCATAAAAACGTTCAAATTAATTTAAAGCCCGATTGGGAAATTATTTTATCAAACGTGATATTTCAACGTAAATATCAAGCATATATAAGTACGTATAATAATGTACGGCTTGGCTAAGTAACTCTGCTACCACACTGTCCTTCTGTAACGTTTTTATGCATTTTGTTTCTTTCAGAGTTTTCTAACGAAAGCCAAGTCAGAGCTCTGCAACGTCTTAAAGGGAAGAGAAAAGTGTATTGAACATTCTCAAATGTTTTCACACTGTACATAATCTTTCGTTCAAAAGGTGCGATAAATATACAAACACTTTTCTGTGTAAGTTTTGAAAAGTAAGTGTTTGTATTTTTATCGCAGCTTTTGAACAAAAGACCGTGTACAGTATGAAAACATCTGAGAAATATTCAACACACTTTTCTCTTCAGTTTAAGCTATTCCGCCTATTTTGGGCTTTCGAGAGAAATGTTGTGAAATCATTTTGTAGCTCAAACTTTTCTCTACATTATACTATGATCAGCTCAAAATCCGAAATTTTTTCAAAAAAGAGCGGGTGGTATCCTTAATACGTTGCAGAGCGCTGGATCTGCTCTTGTTCGAAAACTACGAAAGAAACAAAAACATGCAGAAAAAACGTTACGGAAGGATATTGCAGCAGTAGAGTTACTTGGCCAAACCATATATTTATTAGAAGCATTTAGATCAAGTCTTTTCACACTTTTTAGAAAGTTATTTAAATTTCGACATTAATATCAATGGTTTGATTGTAACCGGCACTTTACCAAATAAATTATCAGATAAAAGGAATCTTCATCAAGAATTATTCAATAAAACAAACATTTTCATGCAAAACTTTGAATTCAAAGACGTACAAGTTTCAAACGTCCAACAACAAATGATTTTATTACATGAGAATGAACAAAAATATTTTGCCTATAAGCAATTACCTGACACAAATATTTATAGACTAGCAGCTCAACATGATAATATGGAAAAGATATTTTCAAAACTGACACTAGAACAACCTACACATATTCAGAACACAAAACAAAATGAATCAACTTGTGTGTAAGAAAGTTGCTATCAAACATAATTATTTTAAAAAATACTCATATTTTTGTTTTTAGAGAGAGAAAATCGTTCGAGGTTACTAATAAAAAAGTTGAATTTCGCCTTAAACCAGAATGGAAATTAGTTGTATCTCATCCGCAGTTTCAAATGGAATACAAAAAATATATAAGTATGTAGTAGAGATAGGCACCAGGACCAAAAACGTTTCTGATCCCGGTAAAAGATTTGTGTGCCGTTCAGAGCTAAGCAAGTTGAGTCAAAAATGACTTAAGTCAAGTCATTTTTGACTTGATGTGACTTGATCTGGGAAATTTTGTATGACTGTTGACTTGACTTGATCTGAAAATCTTTTTAAAAGACTTGACTTGAATTGTGACTTAGCATAATAAATCAAGTTAAGTCATGCATATTTTTAAACCTCCTGTGCAATCTAACTTTCTAATTTATCTTATTAAAAGTGTATGACCGAACTAAAGAGTCCGAATTTCAAGAATCGTCACCTGCTATCACGTAATTATCTGTCCCAACACCACCGCTCCAACAACACACTGAAGCTCATAGAAAATCTGTAACTTGCCTAGCTCCACTTTGGGCATTTTTCTACGAAAAAAGCTTTCAAGTCATGATTTGTGACTTGACTTGACTTGGAACAAGCTTTTATTACTCATGGCTTGACCTGACTTTGACTTGTGACTTGAAAAACCCGTGACTTGCCCAGCTCTGGTGCCGTTCCATTAACTTTAGTAATAAACTATCATCCGATCACGTATTTTGTACAGAAATGTTTGCTCTTTCAGCCTATATATTTTAATATATATCATAGACCTTCGTTATCAATTAATTTAGCAAACAGAACGACCGAAACATCCGGTCCAGGTTGGTCCCGGTCCTTGTGTCCGCTAAATTAATTGATAACGAAGGTCTATGATATATATTAAAATATATAGGCTGAAAGAGCAAACATTTCTGTACAAAATACGTGGTCGGATGATAGTTTACCACTAAAGTTAATGGAATGATACAGAAATCTTTTACCGAGACCAGAAACATTTTTTGGTCCCGGTGCCCATCTCTAGTATGTACACCGTTGAAGATCCAGAAAACTATTTATCCTACGATATTTCTTTGTTTGTCACAGAGGCCTATTTAAATTATGAAATTGAAATAAATGACTCATGTGTACTGATACAGAATGAATCAATAAATATCAACAAGATGGAAGACAGAACAAATACTTTTATGGGAAAATTTCAATTTATTAAATTAATTCCACTGACAAGTGATCAATTGAATTTATTGAAAGAACATTCTCAAAACGTCGTTTATGAGAGAATATCAAATGAGAATGCTTATAATATTGCTACAGTTGATAAATCACTAATTGATAAATTAACATTAGAAGTTAATGCCAATAATTCCAAGAAGTATATTTGAAATGTCTTCAATTCTATTTCAACTTGTTTTCTTCGTCTTTCTAGCCATTCGCCGTCATTATCAAAAGGTTTAATAAATGGTGAAACTATTGAATATTTTGTTAAAAGTTACGCTCATTTACAGTTTTTTAACAATTCACGTTTTGAAGCAGATTTTAAAGAATATTTAAACACGACATATAAAGTAAAAATAATTATTCGACGAGAAGAAAGTTCACAATTACACAAAGATGGAAGATCAGCGATTATTATTAATATAACAGGACACAGTAATGATATACGATCTGCCAGAGATGCGACTGAAACGCTATTCTCGTCAATTCAGAGTAAAACCTATGAAGAAAAAGATGGTAAGTAAGAACGCGTTATGATAATTGTCTTTTTTAACTTAATACAGTGTAACTCATTTTTTACCGTGCCGGAAAGTCAAAACTTGTGCGACTTTCTTTTCGATATTTATACTTGGATCCATAGAGTTCATCGAGCTGAATCAGAATATGTGTGTTTTAGCCTTCCAAAAAAAATTTTTGAGGGTGGAAAATTTTAAAAGACGGAAAAGCATTCATGTATTTTAAAAAACTGAGCATAAATCTCGCCATCGCTATCTGCTGGCATTTTGAAAACGAAAGGACTTCGACACTTTATTCAAACGTTATTATTATTTAGAATAATAAACAAAGTTTTCTGCAACGTTAGTGCTCGGCCTGTCCAATCGTGGCGGAATCACGTTTTTACATTTTAAATTTGCCTTTTCTCGATCATTTTAAAAGACGAAGAGTCGCTATTTTTTCTACATGTGTGCGACCATGTGCTCTACAATACCTGAAAATATCGTTCAGTTTGGTTGTACAGCTTCGATTTTATTAAAGAAATAGACATCGTGGCGGAATCACGAAAAATGGACAAGCTCTTTTAGCTGTCTCCAAAGATATGAAAAATTCTGCGAAACTGAATGACTTACGAGAAAATGTTTGCTATGAAACTTTTAGCAGATCTTGCGAGCAATTTGAGGAAAGAAGGAAAATTTAA